TGTGGCGCCCGAGGTCCCTCTGACGAGGGCAGAGAGGGCGCAGCTCGAGCAGGAGGCGGCGCGGTGCGAGACGCGGGGCGTGGCCGGCGTGGACGCGTGCCTGGAGGAGCTTTTGCAGGAGCGGGCGCGTGGGGCGGGCAGGTGAGTTTGCATGCCGCAATCGGATAACTATTCGGTTTCCACAAGAAAATAATAATGTACCCCGGTTGTGCCCCGGTTTTGCGAGGGCCGCGACGGCGGCTCAAGCGGGAGAGGGGGCGGCGATGATAGTGGGCAGCGAGCGAGGTGGGCGAGACTGATGATGCTCCTTCGACTTAGGCTATTCTTAGGGAGCGGTTCAGCTCTGAACAGCTGCTCTCCGGTGCTGCGTGGGTGCGTGTGCTGGGCGGGCTTCAGGGTGGTGCTCACGCGAGAAGGAGGGAGGTGAGTAGTACTGCTACGCATATGTAGTCGCCCAGAATGCACAGATCGGCCATGTTATGTAAATACGCGCCCGCGATCCATAGTGCGTCGGCCAGACGTCGCGTATTTCGGTGTCGTGCCCGAGCCAAGTGGCGCCTGAAGGAGCTACAAATGTCTTGCGCATTACGAATCTGTCTTCTGCATCCACCTTCTCGGCCGATCGGCGGCCGACGGGAGTTACGCCTCACGCATTACGCATACGCTTGATGCATTCGCACGCCCAAGGTGTCGGAGAGGGCCTACGCACCACGTACTACGCACACGCATTCCGGATTCGAGTGAGAAGTGGCGGCCAACGGGGGTTACGCCTCACGCATTACGCATACTCGAGCACGAACTTTGTTCGCGCTGCCGCTAGGGCTGCCATAAGTTGGCTAGGATTGTTTGTGCGCTGGTAACAACAGACTCGGGCATAGCCCTCGACAGCCGCCCCCGTAGCCCCCCCCCCCCCCCTTTTTCCGTTATTTTCCGGAAAAACGGAAAATACGCCCGAAGTTGGCCCGGCCGAGGCCCGCGGGGCTCTGCAATCTGCTGTGTGTGGGTCATGTGAGACCTCGAGGGAACTTTTTGAGATGACTTTCGGCGGAGAAGGTGTCTCTCTTGGCACTTCACTGCCATTGTCTTTGTCCCATTTATGCTTTGTAACATTGCCTTGGACTACGAAGGATGAAAAATACGTAATGCGTAATGCGTATGCGTGATACGTAAGCGGGGGGGGGGGGGGGGCTCGGGGGAGCGCGGGGCGAGATACGTAATCCGTAAACGTGACGCGTGGTACGTAAGGCACCCGCCGCGCGGGCCATTGCACCGATCCGTCCCCCGCGGGCAAAGCTTTGCGGTGAAGCTGACGTATGCGTAATGCGGATACGTGATACGTCGAAGACGCCCAGCCCCCCCGCGGGCCGCGGCGCACCGGCGGAGATCCATAATCCGTATACGTGACACGTGGGTACGTATGAGGCAACCAACCACACGCACGCGATTAATACGTGTAGGTATTGACGTTTTCTATTTATTTTTGAAGGGTCGCTTTGTGTGTCTAGGAGGTCGTAAAAGTGAATTACTCCGAGGTCCTCTCTCCAGATCTCGGCTCTCGCTTCAGGTAGCTGAATTTCGAATCTCCAGTTGTGCCATAGCGGTTCGGATTGGAGTCGGTGGTCGGCCGTCTTAATGTTTTGTCGGATCTCGAGCTCTATGAAGGATTTGAGGCATCTTTGGAGGTAGGGGGCGGTATTTGGTATAGCGTTGAGCGTGTCAGTGAGATCGGTATTCGAGACAATGACTCCTCTGCCCAGTGTGCCCTCGCATAGCCAGAGGTCCGCTATTTCTTTCCATGGGGCCTTGCGGGGATGGAGGTAGCGTATCATCCACTGTGCGTAGAAGGCTTCGCAGTGGCTCGCCCAGTGCATAATTCCTCCTCCGCCCTTCTTGATCGGGAGATAGCTGGCGCGCTCGTGTATGTATCGTCGTGATTTCTTTTCGGTGCCCTCTTCGTTTGTTCGTAGAGTCGGCTCTGTCGACCAGAGAATTTGTTTGGCGTCGGATTCGATTAATTTGGTGACACTCTCGGGCA